TAAATAAGGAGGACAGGTAATCATCGGGATGCACCCCAGCTGTGTGCACCGACAAATGAGTCGCTAATTACTGGAATGTAACACAGCTGAGGTGCAGAGCCCGCAAGATCGAGAGAGCAGAGGAGAGAAAGGTGGAAGAGAGGCAGGTCGCGCTGAGCAGACCTGACAGAAACACTCCATCAGTGGACTGAACGACTACAGACCTATCGCCCTGACATCTGTAGTTATGAAGTCCTTTGAAAGACTGGTGTCGGCCCACCTGAAGAACATTGTTGACCCCCTGCTGGACCCCCTGCAGTTTGCCTACCGGGCAAAACAGGTCAGTGTACGATGCGGTGAACATGGCACTGCATTACATCCTGCATCCCAGACATCCTCCACTCCAAACTGACCCAGCTCACTGTGCCTGCCCCCACTTGTCAGTGGATTACTAGCTTTCTGACAGACGGGAAGCAGCAAGTGAGGCTGGGGAAAACCACATCCAGCACCCGGACAATAAGCACAGGTGCCCCCCAGGGATGTGTGCTCTCCCCTCTGCTGTTTTCACTCTACACTAACGACTGCATCGCGAATGACACCTCTGTCAAGCTCCTAAAGTTTGCAGATGACACAACTTCCTGCACCAGCTCAGGAAGTTCGACCTGCCCCAGGAGCTGCTGATATAGTAGTTCTACAGAGGAGGAATCATCGAGTCTGTTCTCTGCACCTCCATCACTGTCTGGTTTGGCTCAGCAACCAAACAAGACAAGTACAGACTCCAGCAGGCAGTCAGGACTGCAGAAAAGGTCATTGGTGTGAGCCTGCCCTCCATGGAGGACCTGTACACTGCACGGGTCAAAAGGAGGGCGGAAAGGATCACTGCAGACCCTTCACACCCCGGATACAATCTGTTTGAACTCCTCCCATCTGGATGGCGTTACAGGTCACTGTACACTAAGACAACCAGGCACAGGGACAGTTTCTTCCCCCAGGCTGTCACTCTGATGAACATGTAGGGTCAGTCCGTCTTACCATGCTAACTCTGAGAGGCGAAGCAGTCCAAGTAACTTCAAAACAGTGCTGATTTATTCAAAGGATCACAGGTAAAATTAACATTACATGCTCAAGTGTCTTGCACCTCCAACATGCACGTAGGCAGATGTCACTCTGATGAACACTTAACCCACGACAGTATGAGTGGACAATAACCCTCAGTGCAATATCTGTGTATATATACTGTACATTGTACAGATTGTTATACAGAGTTATAGAGGTCTCTAGCTTTAAGTACTCTGTTTTTCTGTGATTCTGATTTTGATACTGACACACACACACACACACAC